AAAAAAAAAAAAAGCATCTGGTTGTGTGGCAGGGCCACGGCCACTCCTGAAGGGGTGGGTTGGGGGGGGAAAACGGAAAAAAAAAAAAGAGAAAAAAGTAATAATAATTAAAAAATGGTCCACGTGCCTGACCGAACCGCTAAAGAGGCCAGTCCGAGTTTCAACTGCATTTGAAACTCGGGCCCTAACTAACCTCTTCTAAAACGCAGTTTGAAATGCAATTACGAACTGCTTTAGTGACTGCACAATAGTTACCCCTTTTTTTTATTTGTCTTCTTCTACTGATGTTCGTTACAAATTTACAACTAAGGGTCTCGTTAGACACTCCTAAAGAATCCTAAAATTTTTAGGATGAGTCCTAAAGGATTTTTAGGATTTTGTGCGGCATCGTTACACGCAATCCTAAAAATCATCTTTTAGGATTCGTCCTAAAAGGTCTCCCACGGCCGGTTTTAATATGTGTATACGCAGCCACGTCGCCCATGTCCATCCAATCCCCGCCAAGTTCGCCAACGGCTACCGTTCGTGCCCGTTGCCCGCGTCGACCTGCAGAAAACCTCCGATGTCCTACCACTGACCCGACGGACCGCTTCTGCACCAGCAACTCCGTGTCGACGGTGCCATGCGCGCGACGCAACGAGTCCGTGAAACGCGGGAATCCTAAATTTTTCAGTAGGTCGGGGGCTACCGGAAAATTTAGGACGATTTTGCCTGGGGAATCCTATAAATCCCCTAGGACTCGTCCTAATGCCGTTTTCACATTTTCGATCTCAAAATTGGATTTAGGGTTGCGTGCAACAGATTCTCACTTGTTTAGATTTCTGCAGGTTACCAACTGATGGCAGTCAGATACTCAGGTATTTTGATCCCTGAAGGGGATGGGAGGAGATCCGACTGGTGCCCCCCAGCGACTCCCCCCAGAACCCTGAATTAGGCAAGGGCTAAAGAATGAGACAGGAACCACCCGTGTTCCTGCGTTCCACACCTGGTCCTTTTTCATTAGGAGCTTTGGCTGAGCATTGGTTTTGGGAGGGAGAGGGGAGCCAGTATGTACCAGTACGAATCCGGCTCCGAAATTAAGGTGAAGAGGTTCCCCCCCTGCTCAGTCAATCCCCTGGTCTCCAGGGCAATCAATGCTGGCAGGACTGTCTTTCCTGGGCCATTCTGAGGAATCCCAAATGTATTCAACCAAAAAAGCAGCTGTTGACGGACTTATGGGAGGTTTACTGTCTGCATTTACCTCAGAATTAATAAACCATATAGAACAGCCAAGATGATACAGGGGGCTGCGGACACCTGGGAGTACTTTCAAGAACATCAACTGGTAACTTCCAGGGAAGGCCGGGTCAGTTGCTAAATAGGAGCCCTGAAATGGGAATGGGACAATTCGCAGCTCCTAGGGACAAGGTGCTCCAGAGTAAAAGAGAAACAAGACTACAGCCTCAAGTCTGGCCTGGATTGTTTTATTAAAAAGGACGCTGGACCCGGTTTCCAGCAGGTGTCACCC